TAAGGTGCCACAAGTACTCCTTTTCTTTTTGCGGATATTTTTGCTCCTACACCCAAACTTACTCCCAGAGCTTGCACCACTCACCTCCCACAGCCCAACCCCCTGCCTCAGCTCTGAGCCCCCTCCTACATGCAAACTCCTTCCCAGAGCCCGCACCCCTTTCTGCACTCCAACCCCATGTCCCAGGCTCAGTCCAGAGCCCCCTCCCACACTTTGAATCCCTTGGCCTCACCCCCCAGCCTGCACCCCCTACTGCACCCCAACCTCCTTAGGGATCTGAGGGGAGAAAGGGGCAACACACTAATGTTTTGCTTAGGGTGACAGACTGTTCTGAGCAACCTCTGTCTTAATGCTACCACCTTCATGAAATTTCAGTTCTAATCATCGGCTGGTGAAAATGTTAATGTTATAAGTCATTTCTCCCATTTCTGACTCACTGCATTAAGTATGAGAGTGCTAAGAAACACCCAACATAACTTTGCCTAAGCCAATTGAACATAACATCAGTGAACACACTGGCAATTTTAGGAATGCAAAACGATGAATTTCTGCTATGACTGTACAATTTTCAGGATGTGGTAATTAGCAATTAAAAAGCACTTACCTTGCGGTCCTGACATATTTTGTGATGCTGTCCATCTGGGGATCAAATTCAACCAGAACCACACACAAAAAAGGCCATTAACTTCTTTAAGATAAGGTTGTTATACTCTATATACCAGCAGCCCAAACAGTAAAAAGCATGGGAATAAGCAATGAAATCATTCAGCTCCCCATCTACACTTTGCTGATCCATTCATTGGCTCAACCTCAACTGCTTTCCAGTAGCCACAACCCACCTAGCTCCACCCGCCACCTGAACTCCCACTGGGCACCCTTGAACTCCAGACTTTGACGGGGGGAAGGTGAAGGGGAAGCAGGAATTTGGTGTGGGCAGGTAGAGTAACTGAGGCAAACTCCTCAGGCCAAGTTTTGCCCATTCTTACATCTTTGAAGCCCCAATGAAATCAATGGAGTTGTGTAACTATTGGACCAAAGACCTCCAGAGCTGAAATATGAGTCTCTAGAGCTGGAGCTAAAGGACTAAATTCCATATGTGAGAGCTGTAGCATACTCGTATCCTCTGTAGATCAGGCAGAGAGAGGGATACATGATACACACTGAAGAATGGATTACAGGTACTCTGGTGTACCTGAGAAACAAATCTGGCCCCATCTTCAGAGCTAACTCTGGTGGTTGAAGTATGTTACACAGGAGGTGTGAGTTGGCCAGAAAACAGGTGGACGGTCCTGATGCTGATCCCACTGAAGACAAACTCCCATCAAGTTCAGTGTGAGGCTGTATCTACATTTACATAGTCGGATGCCAGCAGGAGAGGGCTGTAAAGGGTGGTAGGCAGAAGCGACTCACCCAAAGGACAGAGTACTATTAAACCACTGCTTTTCTCCTTCTCATAAAGTTCCTGGTTCAGTGTTGGAAGAAAGTGACACTTTTGGTGATTTATTACTAGGGATGCATGACTTTCAATGGACATAGGACTGGGCTCTAGCATAAATGCTGTAAGTGCTAAAGTAGAGTAACGTGCCCCACATTATAATATGAGGGAGATTACAGTAGCTGCAAAGTTACTCCTGCACTGCTGGAACCCTCTGTTAATAAATCCACCATATTTCTCTTGGCGAACAGCTGTTCGCCAGTGGGTAAAGCATAGTGTGCAGTCAGGAGGTCTGGCTGCTATTGCCAGTTCTGTCACTGATTTGCAGCAGGGCCTTGGGCAAGGCATTTAACTGCCTTGCCGCGGATTTCCTGTCCATGAAGCAGGATGCTTACTTTACATGCTTATCTGAATTGGCAGAGATTTGACAGGAATAAGAAGCAGTTTTCAGTCTTGTGTTCTGGGTAGGAGGTGCACAGCTGTGTAGGTGACTGGGACTGAAGGGCATCCAATGCACTGAAGCAGCAGTTTGTGGAGAGACCTTTAGGCAGTAATACCTCAGTGCAGAGATATTAATCTGCTCCAGTTTTGCTGAGTCAGCTCACCAGCACACAGAGGAAGCAGGCTGATGAACGAAGTATCTCTTCACCAAGGTGCCGGCACATCATGGGCTTCCTATGTAACTGGTGCACTGGGGAGCTAAGGCAACAGTGCTGTGGAGCCGTTGATTCACAAGTTCTCCCCTAACCCATATCACCCACACAGTTCTGTTCCATCCTCTCTACAAAGCCCCACCAGCTACCCATGCCTCCTCCTCCCACCAGTCCCCTCCCCTTTGCCCCAGAGCTGCTGAACTCTATAAGAATGTTCAAACAATGTAATAAGAAAGGTCAGTCTGTCAGTACATTTCATCTGCATCTCAACCCATATTGTCAAAGGAATCGCTTCTGAGTGCAGCATCTTTTCAGTCTCTCCCTGGCACAGTTTCCAACAAGGATGGGGCTTGCCGGTCTGATCTTCTTACTCCCTCTGCTGAACATTTTTGTGAGAGTAGGTTTGAGAGATGATTTTTTTGGATGCCCAGTGGAGCTTCTAGGGCCATGCATGGAGGGCATTCTGTGCCAACTGATCTGGGAGAAGGTTCTGCTTCTGTACCAGTCCCTGCTGCAGTTATGTGAGGAATCCCGTTTATAATCCCCTGTTGTCAGTTGCTCATCACTATCTGAAAATCTCACGTTTTGTGGTGGAAAGTTTCTATAGCTGGTCTCGGCCCAGTGATGAATTCTTCTGAGTAAAATTCAGTGAGTCATTATAGGTGAATATATACACACACATACACACACTTTCCCCATTTTAACTAATTTTACTGTTTTAGTTTCTGCTTGCACACAACTCAAAATAGCTAAGCCCTGACATGCCTACTCCGTGTTCCAGCCTACCCAGCCTGCACCGCATCCCCTTGGCAACACTGAGTGTCATTCTAAATATAAGATGAAACAGTAGGTGAATAGACAAAATCTCTCTGTGCTTCAGTTCCCTAAATGCAAAATGGGGATAATAGAACTTCTGTTTAGCTCAGGGCTCTTGTAAGGATAAATATATTAAAGATAGGGAGATGCTTAGTTGCTATGGTACTGGGGGGCCATATAAGTAGCCTTGATAGGTTATATATGCTCCTGGGAGCTCAGGGTGCATTATACCTCTCTCCTGCATGATCCTCCTAAGGTTTTTGAATAATGCACCTCTGCACAACTCCCCATGTGGGGCTGAGACTTTGTCCCGCAATCCAGCCTTGTTATCTTTAATATAATCTGTACAAATTTCAAGAAGGATTAGTTTCAGTGTATTCAATACATATTTAAAATAGTGACTATGTTTTGAACTATATGAATATATGTTTCTCTATTTCAAAAGGGCAGTGGAATTTATGAATTATAGTACTAGATGGAGCAGACAAGTCAAATGTTTAATACTTTCATAATTTTATTTTGTTTTTCTGCCAAGTCTATCTATAAATGATCCCTCTTAAAGAAATATTACTGTTAGCACAATGGTATGCCTGACACCTGTGCCCAAAAGCTGTCATTAATTAAAGCACAGTTGTCAGAGTTAATTGTTCATTGTTGCCTTGAAATGTGTATTTCCTGATGAGTTTGCTCAACAGTTTGCTAGACTGTTTTGGTTTTATTGTGTAATCAGTGATAACCACCATAAATCCTCCTCAGCTATTGTGAATAAGTGCTAATTATATAATCAGATTGTCCATGTGCCATCAAGGCTGGCTAACGGCAATGCACTTCATTCTGAGCAACACAAATGGCTGATCAACTGTCTGCAACTGGTGCAGAATTTGTCAGCAGATTTGTTTGGTGTAGAGAGAGGGGATTTGTGATGTGGTGCCTCTGCTAAATGCTCGTGTGGGTATAAGTATAGTTTAATATTTTGAGAGGTTATGAGGTTTTCTTTTTCCAGAGTATTTAACACCAGGAAGAGATGCTAGACAGACAGCCCTGAAGAATAGAATCCTCAATTTATCTACAGACCAGGTACATATAAGCAAGCTTCTCCACACTCTCTCATCACTGTGTCTCACCCATGTTATAGAAGAGCGGTTCTCAAACTTTTGTATTGGTGACTCCTTTCACACAGTAAGCCTCGAGTGCAACCTCCCCTTATAAGTTAAAAACACATTTTTTAATATATTTAACACAATTATAAATGCTGAAAGCAAACTTTGGGCAGTGGAGATTGACACCTCGTGATCCCGACAGAATAACCTCATGACCTCCCGAGGGCTCACAACCCCCAGTTTGAGAAACTGTTCTAGAAGAGCCATCTGTAGGGTTGAGAGGGTAATTCACTCTTCATGGCCCAGTCAGTCCCTGGCTTCTCCACTAACATTCATCAAGGGTGCCAGATGTTGAAACTACTTCTAAGTGTTAAAGGGTTATTGGGTTAAAAACTCAACAATGAAATAATGGTCTGAAAAATCTTTCACAATCTATTACTGCCACTTTTTGGGAAGTTTTCCCCAAGGGAATAGTGTATCCTAGATACACAAATGTTTCAAATATCAAGAATGTGTTGCTATACTTAATGTAAATGTTATAGTAGAATAGTACAGTGGAGATGTAAGTCTGAGAGCTATATTTCACTTGAAGGGGGCAGCCATTGGGAAGGATGGCATGGTACAGAAATGCACTAACCCCATAAGAATTCTTGGACAGAATACGCCCTAGACTCTTAATATGTAGCAGTGTGTAGGCAAAACTAAAGACAGAGAGACAACAATAGAAATCATTTGTTGAAAAAGAAAAGCAATTCTTGGCTCTGCTGATTTTCTTTCTCTTCCTTATTCTCACAATGCAAGTATGTTTTCATAGAGAAACACTTCTGAAATTATTCCACTTTTCTGACTATTCTAATCCACGTGAAAATCTCTTAATAGATGACTCATTTTAAGTATCCAGTCCATGATTAACCAATGTGTGTAATAGAATTAAGAACATTTGCCATCAGCAATTTTATTGTTCATTACCATTTTGTATTATGACATAATATGTACAAAAGCCAATATAATATTAAACTCTCCAACTTTCTTGTCAGAAATAACTGAATTAAAGTTATTGATGTAAGTCTGAATTAATTGCAGTAACTACATATCAGAGTCCATATTTCAGGAAAGCTCCAGCTCTCTTCCTATGTGTTATCAGAGTAGCGCAAAGGGAAGAGAGCCAAGGCCACCCTCTAGCCCTAAGTCTTCAGTTTCATATAATTACTCCTGAATCTGATTATCATGACAGCAAAAAAGAAATATAAGAAAACTCTTACCGTTTATAGTACTATGGTATGTGTGCTTGGAAATTGTATGCTACAAAGAAGTCACCGTCAACTTCAGAAGCTAAAGCAGCGACTACTTATTTTGGGATCTTCCTGTCTGTCTCTCTCAGTGGTGTCCAAGCTATGGCGTGGAGGCCACTTTGTAGACTGTGAGGGTGACTGTTTGCTAAGAAGAACATTTTATATTTGATTCTGAACTGAAACCGTGGTCCCTGAGCTGTGCCTGGTGACTTTTAAATGGAAGAGTTGGAATTGGCCCTGTTGCTGCCTCTTCCCCAGCTACCTCCCACGGCCTCTCCTGCAGCCTCAGAAGTAGGTCTGGGGGGAGCTGGAAGTGCTCTGAGAGCTGCTATCTCTTGCCTGCTTCAGCTGCTCAGCAGCTTCCCTGTTGGCCACCTGCTGCAATGCTGGGTAGGGCAATGAGCGTAGTTCTGGCTTGTCTGGTGCAGGCTTCCCTTCCAGGCTCTGAGAGAACAGGAGAGAAGCTCAGCTGGCTGTGCCAGAGCCTCAGGAAGTGCCTAGCAATGGAAGGCCCCTCACACAACCAGACAGGGCAGCCTGAGAGACGGAGGAACAGAGGAGAAGCTGTAACTGATTGATTGTGTGTCCCTGCCCTGGTACACTTCAGAGTACCTTGTGGGCTGCTGTAATTTGTATCATTTGGCAGCAGTCTTCTAAGAAAAACATTCCCACTGGGGATAGCCAGAGCACAGCTGTTCCAGCCACTTTCCCTTCCCTCCTCCCACACTCCCCTGTGTGCCAGGAAGAAATGGCTATGGCTCTTCCCTATGTATTCCCTACTCCAGGGAATCCCCAGCAGGGGACTTGCAGGTGGCTTCTGTTCCCTTTGCAACACCTGCGCTGGTTAAAGGGAGCGGAGCCGGGCTGAGAATCTGACCCAAAAAATGTATTGCGGCCCTCTTGACCTTTCTGAAACAATATGTTTGGCCGTCAGGCTGAAGAGGTGGGAAGCCAGTGTGGGCAGTATGTGTGTTTGTGTACAGTAACCGCACCTAAAATATCATCTCCTTTCTTTCATTTATTAGTGTAACAGCCACAGCAAGGTTTTCTGGTAACATAGTGTTTGTAGACACATTTATACTATATAGTACTCTAGACAGTATATACACATACTCTTGTTCAGTATCATACACAGTTAAGGAATGATTTAAGCAATGTGGAGTATTGTGTGTTTCACTGTACACTATTGGGGCAAAGTGTGCAGTCTGCATGGTCAGGATCACTTGCACACTGAAGCAACTGAACTGGCCTGTGATAAGACAAAAAAGAAACCCAAACATTAGTGGCTGTTTTGGATGTATGGTGTCATAACTCTATTGATCATTAAAAGCAGTTATCAAGTGCCACATGGAAGTCAAAGTACACGTTACATAGTTCTGAGTCCATGAGATCTCCTTTCTTAAGGTGATATAAGTTTCTGCACAGACACAGCTAGGATGTTTTCTCCTTACTGCAGTCTACCACTGATGCTTTTTCAGTAACACCTCTGAATAAATTTCAAACATACTTAGACTTGTGGGTTTGAAATTTCTTCACTGAACCAATTTTTTGACTTATTAACAGAACATCATGTTGACTGGCTGACAAAAATAAGGATCATCCATCCATGCTATACTTGCTGTAAGTATTAAAAACCAAATGTGTAGCTGATTTAAATCAGCATAGCTCCATTTACAGTGGCTTCAGTGGAGCAACGCTGATTGCCAGCAGCTGAATATCTGGTCTGAAGAGTTTTACTGTACATTGAAAATACTACTACTTGCCCCCATTTCACCTAAAGTGGTCTAGTTAATTGTCGGTGTTGCTTTGGGCAGCTGGTTATTATTGATTGAGCTCTGATAGAAGCCCTAAATCATTATTGTCTTCCACCTTGGGGGGCCACTTCCGTAACCCACCAGAGAGTGTGTTACAGGTCCTCCTCTCCGCAAAGGATATGAGTTGTTACAGCCCCCAACTACAGATCCTTGTTCTGTTAGCTCCAGCCTTTGTAGTTTAATCCCCGGTGTTGGCCAGGGTTAGATTTACATGGGAACAAAGTGGATGCAAAATACTAAGACTCTCATTTGGCAGCATTTTACATCACAATAGTATAAATGACTCCACAAAGTGCTTATGAATCAGCCCCAGTAATGCATATTACAAAGAGGAAGAAATGGCTTTGTCTTCCAGAACGTTAAAATCTTAGTGCCAGATGATGCATTTGTCCAGTCATCCTCCTTTGCAAGCCAGTTAAAGATGACTAAAATTTAAATTATAAAACTCCCAATGGTTTATTGAAATGATTGTTTACTCAGGAAATATTCTAATCAATATACAAGTTCTGCTCTAAGGAAAGTTCTTCTTGATAAATAAGAATTATTCTTGTTCCTAGTTAACAACTTCACTCCCAGGACAGCACTGTCACTACCAAAAATTATTTCCTCCATTTGGATGAATCTGAATCAATATTAGAGAGTCTTAGCCTCTCTTTTTTCCCCCACCATCGCCATGAGCCCCTGAAAATGGATACCAGATTACTTCCATATTCTTCATCATGGCAACTGGAAGCAATGCCATTCCTCGCCAGTAGCCAGCTTGATGACTTGCAGGAATTGCCTATAATTCTTCCTCAAGCTCATGATAAGCATGGGAGAGGATCACTACAGGTAGAAAAAACTGTAGGACCCCGATGCATTCCCACCCTAATATGCACACACTGCAAACATGCTGTTGTGTCGCAAGTGAAGTGATCACGTGGCTCTTGGAAATTCTCCCACCTTCCCTCCACAATTCCATGTAGTTGGCTGCAAGCAGCTGCAATGTTCAGGCAGCAGCAGCTTTGAGTGGTGCCAGTGGGTCCCCACCCCCAGCATGCAGCCTTCTTCTGAGTAAGGGAATTGAGAGGGCAATCATAATAATTAATAATACTTAGCACTTCCAGCTATTGTTTCTCAGGCAAACCCTCCCCAAATAGATGGGCTATATAGCAGGTCCAGAAGGTCAACCAGCAATAAAGGAAGCAAATTCCACAGTCAGAGGCTAGCCCCTCAAAATGCAATGCCCCCGGCAGATCAAATCTAGGCATTATGACAAGTGGGAGCGCATCTCTTGTTTTCTACTGCCACGGCAGAGTGTTAGGGGAGGGATTGACTTTAGTAGCGAGGACTGAACCACAGAGGACTTGAAAGAGGAGCACCCGCAGCTTGAATTTGCCTACAAGTGGATCGGAAACGAGGGCAGTCTTTGGAGCAGAAGTGTAATATGAGTACTATTATGACATCAAACTTATGCCACTGATGTCATTTTCACAACGGCCACTGATACATTAGCATAATAAAACATGACCTATTTCCTTCAAAAAATATTCTGATTCGGAGAAAAACTGCCTCATTTTATACAAGTAGACTCCAACTCAAACCCAAAGCAGATAATTACCTATAATTATCCTCACAGGAGACACTCAAGTTTCGTTCCTCTAAGATGCTTTTTAACCTTGTTATAGAGCGACCTGTGCAGGACTCACTGAAAAGAAAAACCTCAGGTTGTTACGTGTATCCTGTATGTGTATGAAGTTCACAATTGGCAGACACAGGTGGATTTTACACTATGCTGCCTCATGCTGTCTGACCACACATTTGGTTAAATGTACCTCACTCCTGCCAGCTAATCCGTGGCAGGGAGCCCTACTGCCTCTGTGAAGTCCAGTGGCATCAATGGAGCTCCGGGTGGTGGTGGGGTCTGACCACATGGATCAGGGCCTTACTGAGTACAATTCCGTTCTGAGTACAATTCCACATGGATCAGGGCCTTACTGAGTACAATTCTAGGGTGACCATCACTCTCTCCTGCAAAAAGTCTTTGCATGGGGAGCTAACTGTGTTGTGAGAAATAATTCAATCCTTTTACACACCGGCAGGGCATGAGGACTGCAGAACTTGCCCATTCACAGCTGCTATTCTAGACCCTGTGCCCTACAGCCTCAGTGGGCTGATCTAAGGCTCGCTGAAGTAAATGGAAAGCAACGTGATCAGGTCCTGTGTCTGTACAGTGGAGATGGGAGACTGGCGATATATTCATGGATGTAGGTCCCTACTCCAGATCCCTCTCCTGCAGTTGGCCATTCCATCTACAGCTCCCTCTGTGTATCCCTCCCAAAGAGTTTAAGTCGTGTGGAGGACCCTGTGCTGCTCCTCTTCATCAAGGTGAATTTCTCCCTGTCTGAATAAATTCCATTGCTAATTGTTAAATGCTATCCAACACCAGGATTGGTGCTAATTTCCAGTGTGATGTGTTCAGAGCCCACTGATGCATACAACACAAGGCCAAACTGAAAAAAAAAAAAAACAGATGTCTGGGTTGGTCCACAAAATACACAAGTGCAGCTATAAATTAACATTTTTTCCCATCATAAACCATGTAATCAGCACTTGTCTGCACACCTGTCAATACATGTTTAGCAGGCAGTTTGCACATTTGCACCTGTGTGTGTATATTTTGCAGGTATAACTTAGTTGTCAGTTTCATGAAATTTGTATGTAAGGAATTCAGAATTCATAGCCAGTGAGGACTGTTCGGATCATCTAGACTGGCCTCCTATATAGCACAGGCCATAGAATTTCATTTTGCAATCCCTGCATGAAGTCCATGATCTAAGGGTGAGTTTCCCATTTGTTAAAACTGGAAAAAACAGAGAAACCTGGTTTCCTCTTGTGAGTCCTACGAACTGTTTGGGAGTTGTCTAGACCAAAGTATTAGCAGCTAACACAGCTATCAGTGCAGCAAAGCACAGGAAGAGCAGGGATTAGAAAAGCCAGGGAAGGAGACAGGGAGAAGCAAAGTGGTACTGGCTGCCTCACACGTTCCCTGTCTGTAGCAGCACAGTCAGCCCTCCTGCTCATTTAAGGCTCCAGTGATGTGGAAGTGAAGAAAGTGTGTGTGTGGGGGGAGAGCCCCTGAGTGGAAGGAGATGCAAACTGTAATAAAAAAACATCAATCCCAGTGGCCCAGCATGTGAGACAGATCAGTGAGGTAGCAGGTCACGGGGGCAAATGCAGGACTGCCCCACAAAACACAGGCCAGTTGACAAACAGAAACAATCTTCCTCGTTCATAAGAGTTTCCTGAAGCTGTGGGCTGACACAACATGTGATGTGAATCAAATCAACATTCAGAGCTGACATGCCAGAGATGTTAATTGGATAGTGAAGGGGAAACTGCTGTGAGGGTGTTGGAGGGGCCTCAGCACAGGAGGAAAGTGTGGCTCTGGAGAGACCGAGCAGGCTGCCAGAGCATGAGGTAAGAGCTGCTCGGTCTCTGCTGAGGAGGGAAATGTGGGTCATTCTGCTGCTGGGATGCCCCTAGAGAAGGGAGCAAAAGCTATGCTGGTGGTACCAAGTAAGTGTGGACAGTGACCAGTACGATGGGGGAGGGGCATTCAGGGAGGCTGTGTGTCTCTGTCAAAGTGGTCATCAAGCAGTTAACGGTACGAAACTGTAGAAAAACCTGAGTGTCTCTGGATTAAGTTTAGAAATGTGTGCAACAAGAGTGATGTAGTGGTGGGAGTCTGCTATAGACCACCGGACCAGGGGGATGAGGTAGATGAGGCTTTCTTCTGGCAGCTCACGAAAGCTACTAGATCGCACGCCCTGGTTCTCATGGGTGACTTTAATTTTCCTGATATCTGCTGGGAGAGCAATACAGCAGTGCATAGACAATCCAGGAAGTTTTTGGAAAGCGTAGGGGACAATTTCCTGGCGCAAGTGCTAGAGGAGCCCACTAGGGGGGGCGCTTTTCTTGACCTGCTGCTCACAAACCGGGTAGAATTAGTGGAGGAAGCAAAAGTGGATGGGAATCTGGGAGGCAGTGACCATGAGTTGGTTGAGTTCAGGATCCTGACGCAGGGAAGAAAGGTAAGCAGCAGGATACGGACCCTGGACTTCAGGAAAGCAGACTTCGACTCCCTCAGGGAACGGATGGGTAGGATCCCCTGGGGGACTAACATGAAGGGGAAAGGAGTCCAGGAGAGTTGGCTGTATTTCAAGGAATCCCTGTTGAGGTTAAAGGGACAAACCATCCCGATGAGTCGAAAGAATAGTAAATATGGCAGGCGACCAGCTTGGCTTAACGATGAAATCCTAGCAGATCTTAAACATAAAAAAGAAGCTTACAAGAAGTGGAAGGTTGGACATATGACCAGGGAAGAGTATAAAAATATTGCTCGGGCATGTAGGAATGATATCAGTAGGGCCAAATCGCACCTGGAGCTGCAGCTAGCAAGAGATGTCAAGAGTAACAAGAAGGGTTTCTTCAGGTATGTTGGCAACAATAAGAAAGCCAAGGAAAGTGTGGGCCCCTTAATGAATGAGGGAGGCAACCTAGTGACAGAGGATGTGGAAAAAGCTAATGTACTCAATGCTTTTTTTGCCTCTGTCTTCACGAACAAGGTCAACTCCCAGGCTGCTGCGCTGGACATCACAAAATGGGGAAGAGATGGCCAGCCCTCTGTGGAGATAGAGGTGATTAGGGACTATTTAGAAAAGATGGACGTGCACAAGTCCATGGGGCCGGATGAGTTGCATCCGAGAGTGCTGAAGGAATTGGCGGCTGTGATTGCAGAGCCGTTGGCCATTATCTTTGAAAACTCGTGGCGAATGGGGGAAGTCCCGGATGACTGGAAAAAGGCTAATGTAGTGCCAATCTTTAAAAAAGGGAAGAAGGAGGATCCTGGGAACTACAGGCCAGTCAGCCTCACCTCAGTCCCTGGAAAAATCATGGAGCAGGTCCTCAAAGAATCAATCCTGAAGCACTTGCATGAGAGGAAAGTGATCAGGAACAGCCAGCATGGATTCACCAAGGGAAGGTCATGCCTGACTAATCTAATCGCCTTTTATGATGAAATTACTGGTTTTGTGGATGAAGGGAAAGCAGTGGATGTATTGTTTCTTGACTTTAGCAAAGCTTTTGACACGGTCTCCCACAGTATTCTTGTCAGCAAGTTAAGGAAGTATGGGCTGGATGAATGCACTATAAGGTGGGTAGAAAGTTGGCTAGATTGTCGGGCTCAACGGGTAGTGATCAATGGCTCCATGTCTAGTTGGCAGCCGGTGTCAAGTGGAGTGCCCCAGGGGTCGGTCCTGGGGCCGGTTTTGTTCAATATCTTCATAAATGATCTGGAGGATGGTGTGGATTGCACTCTCAGCAAATTTGCGGATGATACTAAACTGGGAGGAGTGGTAGATACGCTGGAGGGGAAGGATAGGATACAGAAGGACCTAGACAAATTGGAGGATTGGGCCAAAAGAAATCTGATGAGGTTCAATAAGGATAAGTGCAGGGTCCTGCACTTAGGACGGAAGAATCCAATGCACCGCTACAGACTAGGGACTGAATGGCTAGGCAGCAGTTCTGCGGAAAAGGACCTAGAGGTGACAGTGAACGAGAAGCTGGATATGAGTCAGCAGTGTGCCCTTGTTGCCAAGAAGGCCAATGGCATTTTGGGATGTATAAGTAGGGGAATAGCGAGCAGATCGAGGGACGTGATCGTTCCCCTCTATTCGACATTGGTGAGGCCTCATCTGGAGTACTGTGTCCAGTTTTGGGCCCCACACTTCAAGAAGGATGTGGATAAATTGGAGAGAGTCCAGCGAAGGGCAACAAAAATGATTAGGGGCCTAGAACACATGACTTATGAGGAGAGGCTGAGGGAGCTGGGATTGTTTAGTCTACAGAAGAGAAGAATGAGGAGGGATTTGATAGCTGCTTTCAACTACCTGAAAGGGGGTTCCAAAGAGGATGGCTCTAGACTGTTCTCAATGGTAGCAGATGACAGAACGAGGAGTAATGGTCTCAAGTTGCAGTGGGGGAGGTTTAGATTGGATATTAGGAAAAACTTTTTCACTAAGAGGGTGGTGAAACACTGGAATGCGTTACCTAGGGAGGTGGTAGAATCTCCTTCCTTAGAGGTTTTTAAGGTCAGGCTTGACAAAGCCCTGGCTGGGATGATTTAACTGGGAATTGGTTCTGCTTCGAGTAGGGGGTTGGACTAGATGACCTTCTGAGGTCCCTTCCAACCCTGATATTCTATGATTCTATGAACTGGGTGACTTCATCCCCGTGCTCCACCCCTCCTTTACTTCTTGTTTGGTCAGTGGGGAAGTCCCCTGCCTTCTCCTCCAGTTGTGATGCTGTTGAGTAAAAGCAGTAAGTTTCTAGCCTGCAGTCCTGTCAGGAGACTTTTTGTTGCACTACTAAGTGGCACCCTTACAAAGGCTGGGTGTGGGGAGAGGCAGCAGCATTGGGAGGGGTGAAGGGTGTGTGTAAGGAGGGGTCAGTGCAGGTGTAGAGATATGCTGTTGTGGTTTATGTAGGGTTACCAACCCTGCCGGTGTCGCTGGGAGTTTCCTGGAATCAGGCCCTATCTCTTGGAGGCTACTGATGCCAAACAGGGATATTTTAGGATGCTAAAAGTCCAGTGGTAAGGCAGGGGTAAGGCAGGCTCCTTGTCTGCCCTGGCCCTGGGCCGCTCCCGGAAGCAGCTGACATGTCTCTGACCCCTGGTGGGGAAGGAAGGGGAAAGCAGGGGGTCTCAGCGCTTGGGGGGTGGGCAGTGCACAGACTCCACAACTCCCATTGGTCGGGAACTGCAGCCAATGGAAGCTCCAAGGGCGCCACTTGCAGTGCACAGAGCCCCCTTCCCCAGGAGCTGCAGGTTGGAGCCACCCCAGGTAAGCGCCTCCTGGCTGGAGCCTGAACCCCTTTCTGCGCTCCAGCCCTGAGCCCCCTCCTACACCCAACTCCCTCCCACAGCTTGCACCCCAAACCTCCCCCTGTCCCAGCCCTGAGCCCCCCCACACCCAAACTCCCTCCCATAGTTTGCACCCTGCACCCCAACCCAGGCTCAGCCTGGAGCCCCCTCCCACAGTCCAAACCCCTTGGCCCCAGCCCAGAGCCTGGACCCCAACCCCGTGTCCCAGCCCAGTGAAAGTGAGTGAGGGTGGGAGAGAGCGAGCAACGGCGGGAGGGGGGATGGAGTGAATGGGGCGGTGCCTCGGAGAAGGCGTGGGGCAAGGGTGGGGCAACAGTGTTTGGGTCTGTGTGATCCCACAGTTGGCAGCCCTAGGTTTATGGAGTCTCTAGAGCCCCTCTACGGAATTTGTCTGTCCTGTGTGTCACTTGCCCCTCGTGGTTTGATTTTAGAAATCTGGATGTTTTGGGTTCTCTTAAAATAATGTTTATCTTGCTTTGGGGCTGAGCCCTTTGTGACCAGATGAATTCATTTGTTAGAATGCTTCCTGCTTATTCCCAGTCACATCTCCCAGTTAATGGCCAGACACTCTAGTGGACTTAAGTAGTAAGCAGAGGTCCTCAACTGGTGGAAAGGCTTCCAAGGCTCAATTCTAATCTGTGTACTACTGGTGAAAATCAGGAGTAAGTAAATGGAGTTACTCTGTATTTACACCAGAGCAACTGAGATCAGAGGGCCAGATTCAGACACATTGCAGGCATGCTGTGCCAGTGCATCAGTGCAAAGTGTACACTCAAGGATCCATGTAGAAGATCCCCCTTGCCTACAGAGGACCCTCACAGACTGCATCACCTTCCACTCTAAGTGCAAGGTGCATTTCTTTGACTGCCTTCTCTAACATAAACGTACAGGAATGTATGTAATATAAAATTAAAATTCCAAAACAAAACACTCTGTCGTATGTACTTCTCCCCCTGTGGAGAGGATGAGAGAGCAGATGAGTGACAGATGTTAGTCATGTCACTTAATGCACTACTGGAAGGTGCTCAGATACTATGGTGATGAGCTCTTTATAAAACCTATATAGAATAGAAATTCTCTGGTGACTTATGGGCACTGTCTGGTATGAATAGTTAAAAATAAACATTTAAATTGTGGTTCTATTATTAAAAATTACTTGGCAAAACATGGCTTCATGGTTACTGTGCACTGATTGCCTCTCAGTGACCTGCAGAGCATATTTGCTCGGTTTCCATGTAAAAAGATGCTTTCCAACTGCACAGATCTGCTAACTCAGCCAAACTGTGCTCTTTATGTCTGAGCACGACACAGATCTGTTGGGCCTCCGTAGGATTGCACAGAAGTAAAGAGGTACAGAATTTGAAGACAACAGTGTTGTGGAGATAACTATATCCAATTGCAAGGCTAACAGAAAGGAAACAGTTTTGCTCTTCCAGAGCTGTATTGGCTCAGCAGAGCTGGCAATAATAATAATAATAATTTCATAAAAAGTGGTAAAAATCTTACTATTTCTACTAAAGTAAGTAGCTAATTGCATTCAAGGAGCAAAGTTGATGGGTAAGAGAGTGCTATTTTTAGTCATGTTTCAGAATTGCACTGCACTTTAAATTATAGAAACAAAGCATCTCACGCTATTTTGTACTAGCAAACTTTACCTTGGAGGTCCACCGATGTTCTGCATAAGCCAAATCTGCACTGTAGAAACTTTGTCTGGGTCTAAGTTAAAGATCTCAACGCTTCCAAAAATGCTGTAAGAATGCGAGCATGAAAAAGCAACACATCTTAGTTTTAGAACAAGATAAACACAGTGTTTTCCAGTCACTACTACATACTCATATGAGTTATCGTTATTCCCAATGGAGAGAACGTGTAATTTTCCCATGGGATTTTCATGGACTATTTAATTTGTGGTAAAGGAATTTCCCCCCATTTTCATTCAGCTCTATTGAGAGCCTTTGGAGCTGTTTGCAGAATGAAACAGTCTGAGGTTCTTTCATTCCTAATGATTTTTCTCTTGTCTGGATTACCAGTGCCTCCCACTGCTAAAGGGGAAAAAAAACCTTTCCGCTTGTGCTAACCACAAGTTTCTTCATCCCACAGAGTTAGCAGAGGCAGCACCTCCTGTCAGTCACTGAAAGTATGTACTATCTCTGGGGGAGCATAACCCAAGAAATCCACTCTGAGGGTAGTTATATGTGTCAGTTATGTGAGTGTAATATAGCGGAGGAGTTCATTTTGGGCTTACTGCATAAAGTTCTGTGGATTGTGGCCATTTTCAGAAAAAAATCCAAATCAAATGCATCAGAAGATGCATAATAGAATGGGCTAGATCCTCAGCAAGTGTAAATTCGCATAGCTCCATAGAAGTCAACAGAGCAACACTGATTTAGCAAAGCTGAAGAAGATCTGGCCCTATAAGTCTCCAGTCTTGCACTGGGATTTACTATCACAGACACCTGCACCAGTACACATTCCCGAAGTGAGTAGTAAGATAGAGCCACAGGCAATGACCGATTAAGTAGATACCTGTTACTTCTGAATGCTCCAGCATCTATTGATCCATTGAGCATCACTTGAACCACACCACATGCTCCTTCTGCAAACTAAACAAAGCAAATGTACATTGTACTTTAGCATTACATGAAACACAGGGTCAGATCCTTAGCTAGAGTAAATCAGCATAGCTCTTTTGACTTCAGTACAGCTGCACAAATGTTTACCAGCTCAGGATCTGGGTTCACTATTTTACCAGAAGATTCCAGTGAAAATAAAAGGCCACATCTTCTGTCACTGGTGCAAAGTGACCTAAAAGCTACGTTGACCAACCGCAACTGGATAACCCCATGTAGGGAGATCCTGTGATGGTGTAAAGCTGGCATAACAGCTCCTGTGCCACAGTTTTCCTGGCTGCTGGTGTAGAGGACATTGCTGCGACTTCCCTGAGCCCTGGCTTCTGTGTCAGACCATGTGTCTACTGGCAGCCAGTGCAAATTAGAGCAGCCCTCAGGCTGCTTAATTTATGCTGGGGAACTAACTGTGACCAACTGTGATCTGAATACCAACTGGCAAAGGGTTCACTGTTCTGTAGTAGCAACTTCTGTCAGGCCTGACAAACTGACTACACGTAACACACGATCCTTTTTGGATAAATACTGTGAAAGCATGTGAAATATCTAATAATGAGGTATCTTATGCCATACTGAACCACATAACTCTTGAGGGATGGATGGATGAATGATATGTAAGCAGTTGTATATATGTACTGAAAATATATTTTTAGAGTCTGTGTCCTAGGTAGCGTTGACAAACCAGTTTTGCTAGACACCTGTCTGCCTAGGTCCTTATGTAGATTAAGCATTATAAGCCAACACAATAGAAACCTGGTTTGAATATGGAGTCAACACAAGTCTGTGAGGGCAACTTGGAGCCAGCACACTAGGAAAGGAATCATAGGGGCCATCCTGACTCTGGGGACAAAACAAGGAGTTTGGGGAAATATAAGGAGACTTTGGTATCCATCACTGAGCGAGCAAGAAGGACAGTGTCTTTTGCATTTGTGAAAGGTGGATCCCAGCCATGCTGGTTGGTGATGCTGGGAGATTGCCTTCGGTGAGAAACTACTTGAGACAAGGATTTTAGCCTGTTAAAGGTTAAATATGGTCTCTAAGACGGGTGTTATACTTTTTGTTTTACATATAACCATTTTTGTTTCTAATATCCTTACTCAGTGTCTCCTCAATCTTCAGATTTGATGATAAATTTAAATTACCTTTGATTTAGCGGGAAGAACCTCAACAGAATAGAGTTAAATAAGCATTCTGTAAGGCTCCGATTCAGCAAGGTACTGAAGCACATGCATCACTTTAAGCATATGGAGTCTCATTGAAGTCAATGGGGCTACTCATGTGCTTCAAGTTAGGCACCTACCTGTACACCTTGCTGAATCAGGGCTTCACATAGGAGTTCTTCTCGTTATGTTAAAAAGGTACAAGGAGGCGCTCATTCTCTCAGTCAAGCTCTACAGCAGTTTTCAGCATGCTTTTAGCATGCAGAGGTTTAAAAAGTCATTCATTTTAGCAATTGTGATCTTGTGTATTTGTATGAGGGAATGATTCCTATGATTATATTATGGTTGGTTAATGTTTGTTAAGCACTATTTGTGCTTGGTGCTGTTTGACACAAATATCAAGATGATCACTGATGGAGGGACGCATTCAAGTAAGAACAAGAATGCCCAAATTATTGTGACATTAAATGTTGTGTGAAACATGAGACCTTGTGAAAGTCTTGGGAAACCTGTATTTCCAAAAACACATGGCACAACTTTCAATTCATAATAGTCTAATCGGTGTTCAAATTTGACCATTCAACGTCTTTGGTGAAACCTGAGAGGAAAATGGCTTTTTGAGTAATTTGTGGCATCACTCCTAACAGTTTGGGAGGAATTCACATCAGACCACTGAGCTGATCAGACTGTGTTCAAAGGTTTAACTGTTAACTACTTTTTCCTTTGCTGTATTTCTTTCATTGTTATAAACATGAATATTTTGATTAAAATTATTGTTCCAGGATGTAACTGATTATGATAAAAATATAGGGGGAAAAAAAAGAGTACTGGCCATTAAAGTGGGGAGCCGTGGTTAAAAGGCCCCAATCCTGCAATTGGATCTGTGTAGGCAGCCTTCTGTGTCTGCACAGAGTCCCACTGAAATCAATGCATCTTACAAAGGCTCAGGGATTCACACGCATGGATTTGGTTGTGGGATCAAAGCCTTTGTTTTCTAGCCAATGGAACAGACATATCAGACAAATTTGGATGTTCAACATTTTAGCCCCAGATTTCCACAGTCTGGGTGAAACCCTGTCCCACTTAAGTCTATTGGAGTTTTGCTATTGACTTGCTTGGGGCCAAGTTTTTACTCTTTAAACATCCCCAACCCCCAAAGGAACAATAAATTCTAACTGTGATCCTGGAGAAGTTGCTATATAATCCTTACCATCTTGGATGCCATTTTCCAGTACACAGAACTAGGGTTGCTCTCACATTCACTCCATTTTGGACAAGATTCATAGTTAATTCCTAAATAAATATATGATGCAGAATAACTAAGATTAGAGAAGAAATTGTCAGACACTTTAATACTGCCTGCAGTGCTGAATAAGAATGGCAAAAATAAACATTTGCACCCAATGATGAGCTGCCAAAATCTTAACAACGGGTTCCCTCCGCATGCCACGAGGGGGTCATTGCCCACCCCCGTCCCCTGGGATTCCTGCCCCATCCAACCCGCCCCCCCAGGACCCCTGCCCCATCCACCCCTGTCCCCTGACTGCCCCCAGAACCGGGCAGGAGGTCTTGTGGGCCACCGTAGTGGGTGCCCACCCCACCCCTAAGAGCCAGAGGCACCTGCTGGGGGGCGAGGTGGGGAGTCCTGGAGGTGCTTACCTGGGGCAGCTCCCAGGAAGCATCCGGCAGGTCCCTCTGGCTCCAAGGGGCGGGGAGTGTAGCTGGGGGGGAGCAGGGGAAGCGGCCACTCCCCCACTGATCACATCAAAAGTGGCGTCTTAGGCGCCGACTCCCTGGGTGCTCCGGGGCTGGAGCACCCACGGGGAAAAATTGGTGGGTGCAGAACCCCCCCGGCAGCTCCCCGCCCGGCCCCAGCTCACCTCACCTCCGCTCCGCCACCTCCCCTGAACATGCCGCCCTGCTCTGCTTCTCCACCCCCACTCCCGGCTTCCTGCGAATCCGCTGTTCGGCAGGAAGCCGGGGAGGGCTGAGAAGCAGGCTGTGGCTTCCCACACAGGCCGAGGGTGGCGGAGGTGAGCTGGGGCAGGGAGCGATTCCCCTGCACGCCCCGCCTCACCGGGTTACCTGCTGCGGCACGGGCGGCCCTCCTCGCACCACCCTGCACCAGCTCACCTCCACCTCCCTGGGCCTGAGTGGGAAGCCGCAGCCTGCTTCTCAGCCTGCCCCAGCTTCCCGCGTGAACAGCTGACTCGTGGAAGCCTTGGGGGGGGGGGTGGAGAAGCAGAGCGGGGCGGCGCATTCAGGGGGAGGAGGCGGAGCAGAGGTGAGCTGGGACCGGTGGGGCGGGGAGCTGGAGCACCCATGGAGTTGGCGCCTAAGGCTCCACTTTTGGCCAGTTAAATTTAGAAGCCCTTTTAACCAGTTCTGAAAGGGCTTCTAAATTGAACAACCAGTTCTAGTGAACCGGTGCGAACCAGCTCCAGCTCACCACTGATTGCACCCCATCACAGCAACAGGCTTAGGCGAAAAATGTTCTGAGGGGGAGATTAAGTTGTTTCAATGAGGCATTTACAGTCCCCTTATGCAAATGATTCCAGCAACATTGTTCCTGGTCAGCCTGAGCAGGAAGAACGTGCGTGCGTGTGTGTGTGGGGGGGGGGGGTGTCTTTGCAAATGCTCACTGAGCATGCTCAGAAGTGACACTTCCCACATAATTTTTATTTTGTTTTTTATAAATTTCCCTCAAATTTGGGGAGAGATTCTTACGTCTCTATTCATTCTTAGGCCCTTAGCCTGAACAGGCAACCCCCTTATATCTACATGGGGCCCCAATGACTTCTGTGCAAGTGCAGGAGTCTGCCTGAATGGAGCATATTGCAGGACTGGGGCCTTAGTTTACAAGTGGTCCCACTGGAATCACAGTAGGTTGCCGATTACTGTAAATAAGGGGGGGCAATATGTGGCCTTTAGCTAGACGTGAGCACTGGTCACATGCCAAGTTTGATGTCCCTAGACTAAGCTCTTTTTGTCCTACTGGGAGCTAAGAAGTGTTGATAAAATTAAGCTGAAAATGGGTGTGTGTTTTTACTTTTCCATAACTGAGGCAGGGTAGAAAGGATCAACAGTTGTTTTGGGCTGAAACCAAGAATGAAAAGTATCCTCTCCAAAAGAGATTTTATCTTATTTTAGAAATTTGTGGCTGAAAGAGAACCTGGAGTTATAATCATTATATTAATTTTGTTTGTTTGTTTTTTAAAAAGGAATCCTTACCTGGACTAGAAGGGTTTCCACACCATGAGACCCCGTCAGCCATATAGCCCAGCAAGGTGTCCTCCAGAGTGAGGAAGTTGTGATTGGTTTTTGTATAACGATGAACAAGGTCATTTGTCTTGCTCCAAAATAATGACTGTGAGGGAAAGGATGGTGTGTAAGAAATGGCATTGATATGAGAGCTGATCAGGAAATTTTTTTTTTTTTCTGAAAAAGTTTTGATGATGAAAATGTTTGTTTTCATTTATATTTTGTGGGTTTTTTGTCAAAAGACCAAAAACTGAATATTTTAAAATATATAAAAATTCCACTGGGATTTCTAAGGAAAATAGAAATTTTCAGGGAAAAAAAATTAATTTGGTTGGGGAAAACAATTTTCCACTGAAAAAACATTTTGAAGGAAACTTTTTAACCAGCTCTAATTGCTGTCACTCCTCCATTTCTGCATGCATTTCAACCGCACCTGAGCAATAAAAAGCCGTGTGCCTCTAACTGCATGGCTGTTCTTACACAGAGCTTCTCTTCTAAATAGCAATAACGGCCACAATGATTTTCCCATCATGGCCCAAAAATTTTTCCCTAGAAGGAATGATCTGTGATCTTCATCACGGACCTATAATGAACAGGATTCTCTTGTTCTAAAAGAAGTAGCTTTGGGAGTAATGTTATCTCAAGCCTGCAGTCAGAGTACCTGTAGGTATTTGAGGGTTACTCATGATTGCCATCATTATTATTATTTGTGTTACCATAGTGCCAAGCAGCCCTCGTATTGGCCCAGGACCCCGTTGTGCTAGAGGTACTTTACAAACACAGAACAAAGCAAAGAATCTTCATTGTACTAGCATGTACGGACAAGCAGTCTCTACCCAGACAGCTCATCACACACAAATATTGTTACCTTGTTACAGGGGATAGTATGACTCGCCAAATCCAGTAACGGCTGATAATCTTCTGTTGTAATATTACATGGGTTCTTGTAAATAAATGCCTTTTGCATTGTTTCCCATATTTTTTGGCAATCTTTGTCTCTGTCAAAAGGTTAAAATATAGTTAATGGGAGAGCAACCGTTTAAAAAACAGGTAATCATCCAGAATCATCGTTCTATTTCTGTGAGTTGCTACTGTGTTACGAAGAGAAAATAAATAGTGGGGGAGGGGCTTACGAAAGGATCCCCTCCCTTCTGGTGTGTTTAGAAAGTCTGGCCGACAGTGCCTAAAGTGCTTCTCTCTCATTTAGGCACCAAAATAAATAGCCAGATTTTCAACAACAACAAAACCCCTCAGCATGTTGAGTATATGCTGGATGCTGAGTAATTTTGAAAATCAGCCCTCTCTCTGTCTCGCCCTGTTTTAGGGATTTTATGCTGTGGCCCGTCACTGAGCACCTTCCATGCTTCGCTGCCTAGAAGGGAGTGGAATTCTTTTGAAAATTTGGCCCCAGTTGTCAGTGCTGCGCACTTGAACATTTGGTCCTGCGTTCTTTCAAATATCTGACTCCACACAAATAGAGGGTCCAGATTCTACCCTCCTCATTCCTGCTGAGTAGTGCTGTGAGTTGTCCCACTGCAGTCAGTTGGACCGGTCACAAAGTCAGTGACTGCTCATCCTGAGCAGCAAGGGTGGCAGAATCTAGCCTGGAGATTGAACACTTTGTGGTACAGAGAAGTTGAATAATATTGTCGGTGTAGATATGTCAGTGGTGCCCAAAGCTTTTGTCATGCCCCCCTTACCAGTAATGTAATCTGTCTGTGCCCCGCCCCCTCCATTACTGCACAGCTGGTTCAGCAGAGGAGGATGGGCTGGGGGCTGAACTGGGGAAGGGGGAGGAGCTGGGGCTAGAGGCAGAGCTGGGCTGGGGGTGGAGGGGGAATGAGGGCAGAGCTGGGCTGAGGGCAGAATGGGGCTGCAGCTGGGCTGGAGCTGAGGAGGGGACAGAGTGGAGCCAGGGGTGCTGGAACAATTGTTATAGTGGGGGTGCTGAGAGCCTTTGAACCAAACTGTCAACCCTGTATATAATGGAAACCACTTCAAGCCAGGGTGTGTGGCAGCACCCCCTGCACCCCTAGTTCCAGCACCTCTGAGTGGAGCTGTGGCTGGGGCCAGAGCTGGGCGGGATGCGGCGCTGCATCTGGGGCCGGAGCAGGGCTTGGTGGCGCTCCCTCTCTATCTCCCGTGGGAGCTGACCTGGGCCCTGCCATGTGTGCGCCCCGTCCCCCAAATGTTCCTCCATGCCCCCCAGTTTGGGGATCAATGAGATATGTAGATCTTCTGGTAAGGTGAAAATCAGCCTGTGAACCTTCCCAAGAGGAGACCTACATAGGTAGCATCAGTAATTTTATCCCCCGAAAAAGGAAGAAACCCTATAAGTATTTAGGGCCTGATTCTAGTAACACACCAATTTTACAATGGTTTTATACCTGTTTACTTCAGTGGAATTACATGAGTTACTTGTTCTCCAACTTTTCAGCATCCTCTTATCTGCAGTATTAATTCTGGCCTTCTTGTTTGCACTGAAGTCAGGACTAACTCCACTGAAGTGAATGGAATTACACTGATGTAAACCTGATACATGCGGGAGGGTGCACAACCAAGTTGTCTGTGTCTAGCTTTGTTGCTTAAGCCATTGGCCTATCAGCTAAGTCATCAGTATGGGAAACACAACAAGCGAATGCTGACAGGTGCTGAGAGTTTCTCCTGTAAACGGTAATTCATTGCACTGTGCCAGGCTGAGGTCATTTTTCAATATGTAGGCTTGGAGTGACATTTCTGAGACTTTTGTTGAGCTCCAGTGAAATGCTACTCTGTTCCATTTCTAAATCTTCACTATGTGAGTCTTGCTGATACTCTTGAGACTAATCAGCACCATCTGTTCTGTTGTATTTGAGGTATTGAATTAAGCTAATTAATTAAGCTAACACTTGTGGACAAACATCAACTCTCAATTCTTGTCCATCTAGTATATTTTTTCCATGTTGTCCCTGGTGGATGGAATACCCTTCCTTCTCTTCTCTGCCAAGGCACCAGCCCCTTTACATTTAAATTCCTTCTTGAAAACTCACCTCTTTCGTGCTGTTCATCATAAGTTAGTCAGTAATAGTCACAATGCGGTAGCTTTATGTTGGTGCTTTTTATGAAAATTAAAAAACACCTGAATTGAGTCACCTTGAGATAAGCATGCCCAAACTGAGCAATTGCATAACTGTAACACTGTGACCTTTATCCTTTCCTGACTCACCCCTTCTCCATTATTTCTCACCACCACTCAGTGTCCCCCATGCAAAAGCTCTTTTAAGAAGGACTGGTTGTATATTTCCCCCACCACCACCACTTCTGTGAAGTGCCTAGTACTCCTCTGGGCAGTATAAAATTATACTGGCTGGTTAACTTGGAGAGGTGCCATTTATTTTAAGGAACTTGCACCACTGACAGCTCTACAGCATTGTTACCAGCGGATATCATGGGGACTATGCAGTTTGGTATTTGGTCATGGTGTGATTGTCAAAAATAGTCCTAAGTGGCCTAAGGAATGTAACACCATGATGATACTTTTCATCCAAGGATTTCAAAGCACTTTACAAACACACTATTGAATTAAGCTATACAACAGCTCTGTGATGTAGGGAAGAATTATCACTATTTCCCAAGTCAATCTAGGCTTTTATATGGTGCCGATCTGAGTATTAGATGGGCAAACTGAGACACACAGTGTTGATTTCCGCAAGAACACACACTACCTCATTTCTGGGCTCTTTACACTAGACAGCACTGCCTCCATGCCATTTGAAAAATAGGTGTATAGTCAGTTCACAGTCAATAGCACAATCTGAGAAAAAACATAGCCAGCAAGGACAGGGGAAGAGACCAAAGGATAGCAGCACTGGGTACATGATTCCATCCAAAGCCAATGGCAATTTGAAGAAATGCACTAGTAAATTTTGGGCTAAGCACCAATAACTTACAATTTGCTGTCCCCCACATGCTATACACTCTGCAGCAGCCTTAGGAGAATAAACTTCCCCCAAGCAAGCCACTAACCTTCAGTTTCTCCATCTGCAAAATGGGGATAATACTAAGATACCTATCTCAGAAATTACCTACCAGTTGCCCATCAATATAAAGAAAGCCTGATGTAGAAATCAAACGTTTGTAGTGTTGTTGTAACCACACTGTCATCAAGATATGAGAGAGAAAAGGTAGGTGTGGGAACATCCTTTATTGGATCAAATCCTGTTGGTGGAAGGTACAGGCTTTCAAACTTCACAGAGCTGAAAGAAGAGCTCTGTGAAGCTCAAAAGCTTGTACCTTCCACTCAGTTATTGCGTCATCTACTTTGTGTCTCTTATAGAAATTAGAGACATTATGAAACTACTCCTAAGCTGAGGCACGTGCATAACAGCTGGAGGATGATAACCTAAACAGTTTCCTGTCATGACTTTCTTCAGTGCAGCAGAAGTTGCCTTGTCTTCATGTGCACGCAATGGTTATCCCAAACTGAAAGGCACACAGTTAGACATACCGTAGGAGGGGAAATCAGATGATTGCTTAAGTCCAGTTCCTATTGGAAACTTAAAAAGAAAAGGAGTACTTGTGGCACCTTAGAAACTAACAAATTTATTAGAGCATAAGCTTTCATGAGCTACAGCTCACTTCATCGGATGCATACAATGGAAAATATAGTGGGGAGATTTTATATAGACAGAGAACATGAAACAATGGGTGTTACCATACAGAGTAACAAGAGTGATCAGGCAAGGTGAGCCATTACCAGCAGGAGAGCGGGGGGGAGGAGAAGGGTGGAGAGGGGAACTTTTTGTAGTGATAATCAAGGTGGGCGATTTCCAGCACTTTACAAGAACAGTAGGAGGGAAAATAAACAAGGGGAAATAGTTTTACTTTGTGTAATGACACATTCACTCCCAATCTCTATTCAAGCCTAAGTTAATTGTATCCAGTTTGCAAATTAATTCCAATTCAGCAGTCTCTCATTGGAGTCTGTTTTTGAAGTTTTTTTGTTGTTGTCATATTGCCACTTTTAGGTCCGCAATCGAGTGACCAGAGAGATTGAAGTGTTCTCCGTCTGGTTTTTGAATGTTATAATTCTTGACGTCTGATTTGTGTCCATTGATTCTTTTACGTAGAGACTGTCCAGTTTGGCCAATGTACATGGCAGAGGGGTCATGATGGCATTTATCACATTGATAGGTGCGCAGGTGAACGAGCCCTTGGTGGTGTGACAGATGTGATTAGGCCCTATGATGGTGTCCCAGAATAGATATGTGGACACAGTTGGCAATGGGCTTTGTTGCAAGGATAGGTTCCTGGGTTAGTGTTTTTGTTGTGTGGTGGGTGGTTGCTGGTGAGTATTTGCTTCAGGTTGGGGGGCTGTCTGTAAGCAAGGACTGGCCTGTCTCCCAAGATCTGTGAGAGTGATCGGTAATCCTTCAGGATAGGTTGTAGATCCTTGATGATGTGTTGGAGAGGTTTTAGCTGGGGGCTGAAGGTGATGGCTAGTGGCGTTCTGTTCTTTTCTTTGTTTGGCCTGTCCTGTAGTAGGTAACTTCTGGGTACTCTTCTGGGTACTCTGACACAGACAGAGCCAGAAGAGTACCCAGAAGTTACCTACTACAGGACAGGCCAAACAAAGAAAAGAACAGAACGCCACTAGCCATCACCTTCAGCCCCCAGCTAAAACCTCTCCAACGCATCATCAAGGATCTACAACCTATCCTAAAGGATGACCCATCAGTCTCACAGATCTTGGGAGACAGGCCAGTCCTTGCTTACAGACAGCCCCCCAACCTGAAGCAAATACTCACCGGCAACCACCCACCATACAACAAAAACACTAAACCAGGAACCTATCCTTGCAACAAAGCCCATTGCCAACTGTGCCCACATATCTATTCAGGGACACCATCATAGGGCCTAATCACATCAGCCACGCCATCAGAGGCTCGTTCACTTGCACATCCACCAATGTGATATATGCCATCATGTGCCAGCAATACCCCTCTGCCATGTACATTGG